AGAGTAGCCTCTGACTCAGTCCATTTGCCCTTAATTTTCAGGGTTTCATTGTATCATATCCCAACAAGAAAGCTTCCATTATTAGCATTTTATGATGGCAAATATAAAGAAGGTATTCCATCCTGAAGACTGTACCAACCTAGTATGCTAATTGAATCTCTGGGAAAAGGAACTGGATCTGCCTACCATACCAGGTCGTGTTGAATGCTTGGATGAACCAGTTCTTGGACTTGCCAACAGAAACTATAAAAGTAGTAGCTGCCATAAACCCAGCAGTCTTTGTATGTAACCTGGGTAACCTTGTGCTTGGATTACCTCAATGCAGTGTAGTGGGGGTGCCTTTGAAAATGGTCCAGAGTCTTCAACTGATCCAAAACAAGGCAGCGAGACTGTTAATGGGGATTGGCTCATGAGAACATATTACTGCCAGTCCTCTTCCAGGTGTACTGATTGTCAAAGTGCTAGTATTAACATTAAAAGCCCTAATTGGTTTGGGGACAGGTTAGCTGAAGAATCACCTCGTCCCATATGCACCTACCCAGACCCTGTGATCATCTTTGGGGGTCCTTCTCCAGGAGACTCTTCCAAAGGAAGTAGGTGGCTAAAAGGAGGGGGTCTTTTTGGTTGTGGCATTATGGTTGTGGAATAAGCTCCCTGAAGAGGTGTGCTTGGGGCTTACTTTGCATTCTTTTTGGCACCAGGTGAGGAGTTTTATATTTTCCCAGCATTTTAACTTTTAATAGCAGCTTTTAAGCATCATTTTTAATATTGTATTTTATTCTGTACCACTGCTATACTTCTATGCTTTAATTGCAATTGCTTTGTGTGTATGCTGAGGCAGGAGATGGGTTAATGATAGTTTCTTCTTTAGCTCCAAATACAACTTATGGGCTCTTGCCCTCTTAGACAACCCTTTTGCCACAGCAACAAGGCAGCCAGAGGTGATGCAGACTTTAAGCCCAAAGCCACTGAAGAATCCAGTTGAGTGAAGTAGGGTCTTTGATATCCCAATGGCCCTGTGATCTTCTAACACCTTGGACATTTGAGTAAATCTCCTGTCTTCTGCTGGTTCTACTATCCTCCAGGCTTGGTCCTAGCCCATGGCTGAAAGCCTGGTGAACCAATTGTACTTTGCCTTGTTTCTGAATACTTGGCATAAGGATACAATGATACCATCCTGGGACTTTTAGTGAAGGATGGTATATAAAAGCTTTAAACAAACAAAATAACTAACTAAAAGTGCCCACTTTATGTTCTTCTCCCACCTAAAGGGACAAAGAGAGTGTCTCTCAAATGGGGAGAATATACTGCCACAATGAGTATGATTGTGAAAAGGGTTCTGAAAGACTACATGCCCTCACATGCAGTATGTGAAATTCAGAATAAGCACAAAAAACAAAGGGCAAAACGTTTAAGATTAGACAGATAAAAGAAAAAGAAAATATTCAGCATGTTCTATTTCTCTCTTGAGAAGAACTGAACAAAGGGAAAATTCTCTAAGGGGTTGCCAAAGAGGCAGTCAAAAGGGCATTTGAACTCTGCCGAATTGACAGGATAGGCAAGAACCTGCTACAAACATGGATTCTGGGATGATGGTGCAAGGTTCTGTCAAAAACCTCTTAATTACAGAAGGCTCCCAGATGGAGGCTTCATGCAGGCACAGAGTCAATATGTGTTCTGCACACATATCATAAAAAGGAACATAAGTTCTCTCAACAGAGGCATTTAAACAGTGAGGTCTTCAATATACACATAATCTGGATTTATTGATGAGCAGCAAGGTGGTCATCCTTAGAAAACTAGCCTGAGAAACACAGCTGTGAAGAACAATTAAACACTGTCCTTCAAAGATAGGACATAGTCATGTACTGTGTAGTATCTGTGGAGGAAAAGCCCTCACTTCAGTAAGGAAAGGGCTAAATAAAATAAAATAAATAATACTGCAGGATACTTATCCCTCAGTGTCACCTGACCACAAGAGAGGAAGATGATCCAACTATCAACAAGTTGTATACAGAGGATGTGATTAAATTGGGGAATGAGAATGTACCCTGCTCTTGATACCTATCATATTTGAATGTTGCCCCCTGAATCCTATAGCCTAGAGTATCACAACCTAAAATGTTTGTACAGCATAGTGCTCTAAGTTGTTGTAGAAGCCAAGGTCAGGGTCATAGATATGTATGCTGATGTGTTTAGGAGAAGTCATAATCTAGCCACTGCCATAATCCATCTGACAAAAGAGCAGCAGGCACGCGGGTCTCTGGTACTGGTCAACCACGTTCCAGGGAATCCAGTATTCTTTGTGAACCAGGCTTTCACTTTGCAGAGCTGGCACATGGCACCACTGTGGCTGTCTTTGGAGCAAAATTTCAACTACTATAAAGGCTACTTGTGATGAAAACCTTTGAGCAACTAAAGTTGAGGTACAGGTCCATGTATCTTTTTGTTGGACATTGTGGAAACTGATGATGTGATCATAGTGTTGAATCCTGTGCAGTGCTGGAGACAAGAAAATTCTTTTGGAGGAACACTCCAATAACCCTGGATCAGGTGAAGAGGAGGGCATACAAAGCCTGCACCAAATGAGCAGTTGTGTTAGCTACTTTTGCTGGTTTTTCCCACATCTGTGGAAAACAGCTATTCTCAAGCACAGCCCATCAGAAGGCAAATTCATTTGACACAATTATCCCCCACTCTATATGATCCAGGTCAGAGACTATTCATATACTTCTTTCATTCAAATCAAGCTATCAGCTCACTCATAATGGTCTTGAGACTCTAAGTCTCTGTTATAAAAGAAGTCACTGTCTTTGCTGTTTGTACTCCTTCTTAACCATGGTACTTTCTTAATTAACTAAAACTTATTTCTTCTGATTTGCTTATACAGGTGGGAAGCAAAGGCCTAAAAGTAATAGAAATCAGGAACTGGCTCTCAGGAAACAAATTCAATTATGTTCAGGTGTGTTGTTTATTTTATTATTTTAATTTTCAAATGTATAGGTCACTGAATAGCCTAAGGTCTCTTTAAGTGACTAACGACACTAGAAATAAGCCAACAGTTCAATTATAAGTACAGGGGGAAGAAGGGGAACCTGTTGATAACAGAGTGAGCTTTTACATTCAGGTGTTAAAATCAGGTTTTGAAATCCCTTAGAAAGAGGATAGTTTTTGCCTGGTGCCAAAAGGAAAGTAGTGACAGCACCAGGTTAGATCTCTTTAGGAAGCCTATTCCAGAGGTGGAAGGCAGCCACTGAAAAGGTCCTCCTTCTAATTTCCATCTCTTTTACTTCCTTTAGGGATGGTTCTTTCAGAAGGACCTCATTCCTAGATCTCAATGGGATAGAAATATAAGGGAAAAGGTGTTCCTTCAAGTAACCAGGTCCCAAACAAGCACTTTAAATTGGGCCTGGGCTTCAACCAGCAATGTGTGATTTATACAGATAGGTGTTATGTGGGCATGCAAACTGTTATATGATGCCAGATGTACAGCTCTATTTTGGACTAGTTGAAGTCTCCGGACAGTCTTCAAAGGCAGCCTTATGTAGAGCACATTATAGGAATACAGTCAGGATTGCTATAGGTATTTGCATGTACAAATATGTGCATAGAAAAAGTCAATTTTACGCAGGTTACATCTGGGGAGTTGGGTGCTAGTTCTCCTGGACCTGGCTCTGCTTCTAGATGGTTGTACCAGGAATACCTTTGCACATCTATGGAATGCGGTCCCCAGAGAGGTCTGCTTGGCGGCGTCATTATTTGTTTTTTGGCGCCAGGCTAAGACCTTTTTATTTGAAACTTATTTTAATTGCTAAATTATTGTATTTATTAGGATTTTAAATTAGCCGAGAATGCACCAGGGGGTTTTAAATGTTTTTATATATATTTGTGAGTCGCCCCAAGGCTTTGTTGCAATGGGGGCGGCATAGAAATGTTTTAAATAAAATAAATATAAATAAATAAATATCAGAAGTTGTCCCCTTTCAAGAATGTGGTAGGCTAGACCACTTTCATACATTTCCTAGTCATATCTAGGTAAAACTACCTCTGAAAAGTGTTCAGAAGCACTAGATGGTACAGAAAACCGGGACCAGATTGATGTAGTGTATAATGATGGTAGTATCTGATAAAGCCATCCACAGTCCACTAAGTTCTTTTGGGGGAAGGCCTCTGCGTCTCACCATTATCAGAGGTACAGCTGGTAGGAATACAAAAAAAGAACGTTTCAGTTGCAGTATACTGTCTGCAGAGCTCCTGCTCTGGGACACTTGTTTAGTTCCTTCTTTATTATACTTTTGTCAGCTTCTGAAGACTATCCTTTTGTGGAATACTTTTGATTTTAGTTAATTCTTGTTCCCTGAATTATTTGGTTTTTAAGATGCTATTTGGTCTTCTTGATTCTGTACATGTTTTCTCTGTTCCTCTAATACTTTATTGATTAACTGCATTGGTTTTCTATGGTAGATTATTTTTATCGTCTTTGTTTTAAAGAACCTTTTTTTGAGTAGAAAGACGTATAAAAAATTAAAACTGATCAGTAAAATATCCTTTCTAAAATGTACAATAATGATGCCATCTCCACACTAACACAGAACATATTTGTCCTCAAGAAACATTATGTGATTAAAGAATAATTCTTTAATTGGCAACGTATTCCAACGCCCTAGGGAAATATTAAACTTTATACTGCACTAAAGTAGAAACTACGCAAAACCACTGTAGTCCTAAATTGTATCACCTACTAATTATTCTCTAATGGGATTGTTTTACTCAGTGGAACTTTGGTCATCATTTAGAACACCCATTTCCATATTCTAATTGGGCTTAAAATTAATTTTTTTTCGAGGGGGGACACACCTTAAAGATGAGGTATTTACTTAGACCTGCTTGCTTCATGTTCATCAAGGGCTTTATGATCCTCTAGTAAGATGATGCCAAAAAGTTACTTCACTTTATAGTACTTCTCAAACAGCAACACCAGTGACCATAAGTGTGCAGACCTGTTTCTCAGCATGTGTCCTGGCTGATTCTTCTTGAGCCAGCACCATTTCCCGCTCTGCAGTTATCTGCACACTCTCTCTCAGGGCTTCTTCTAGCTCCTCAATCCGATCATCCTTCTTACGCAGACTGTCCTGGAAAATGACAGGAGACCAGATGAAGTAGCTTGGATTTAAAAGGCAGAGCAAATCAGCCAAGCACTATGCCACTCTTCAGCAATGGCAGTCCACAAAGACAGGTCTTCATAGAGAGGAAAGAAGAAGATGTAGAGTGAAGGACGAGCTGGAGAAGGTGAATGCCACAGCAAACGTGAAAGTTAGCAAACCAAGAGATCAGCAGTGGAAGCAGGACTATGTGCATTAAGATCAGCTAGTGCAGTTAACAGGTTGTTTCTGTGCAAAAGATACAGAGTAACTTGTGGCTCCAAAGCAGGTTAGTAGGCAAATGATGTGATACAGCAACCAACATTCAGACTTTCTTCTCAGGCATTCACAACCTGGCAAGCAAAGTGAAGGAAAGTGAAGCGAGTGCAACTTGTAGTTAACAATATGCGCTCTCTTTTGGAGTATGATATTAAGCTGCCTCAATCAACAAGACTCTTCATACGTAATTAAAATAGCAAAGAAGGTTCTGCCACTCTGATGGAAAGATGAAGGCAAAAGTTCAAACAAGATGTATTTGGAACATTATGGCTCAGAATTTAATTTCTTCATGATGAAATCTTCACATTTGTAAGCCATACTGCTGAAGATCAAAATGATAAATCAGATGCTTATTTATAGTTTAAAAATGTAGCACAGCATCTAGAGATGTTTATTCTAGTCTGAAAACTCCAAAATGATTTCACACACATACATTCACTGCCTCTGAAACTGCAATCAAGAACAGAATGGTTGTCAATTTGTGTTTGTTACAATAAATAATCATCCTAGACTGTGTTACACTAAACTTACACTGTCAACTAAATGACAACTCTGTAAGCCTAGTTTGAACAATTTCATAGATATACAAGTACTTTTCAATAGAGTAACTAGTAGCTAGCTTGAAAATTCAGATCAGAAAAAAACCCCCACCCAGATGAGAATGGATTTGCTAAGGTTTCCCGCTAGCATTTCACACAGTAACTAATAAGTACTAAGAACTAAAGCAGCAAAATTAAAATATTCTCCTCCTGTTTCTGACTAATCAGCTCTGAGAAATTGCAGTAGCGGTAGTGCTGGTAGTCAAAATATGCAAAGCAACCTGGGTTGGTACCCTTTATTCCATTATTTAACTGTATATATGGTCACAACACTCGCACAAAGCCTTCAAAGAAAACTACTGCTAGTTCTGCTACAGAGAAGTACTTGACTGTTGAGACAGGAGTGTAGGCCTTGCATAGTGATAATAACAGTGACAAGGGATTGAAAGAAAAATGAACTTGGTTCTCATTTTAATACAAACCTATCAAATTTGTATTTCTTTAACTACTGTATGAACTGCATCATGATTATCCTTTGGTATTTGGACATATTATTGAAAATAATGGTAAAATGCATTTTACTGGGGAAAATTATTTGCAGAAATGTGCATATTTGGTAAAATTGCACAGTAAAATATATGCATGAGAAATTGATGTGAAAATGTATATCAATTTTCATACTTTTCAAATTACCAACTGAAGAACAAACAAAACAAGATATTCTTATGCTTATAAATATGGGAAATTTAAATTGACAGATATGTCTATCCCTAGTTAGTACCAAACTGTGTGTGTGTGTGTGTGTGTGTGTGTGTGTGTGTGTGTTAGAATAGACAAGACCAAATATTAGATAGATAAGAAAGCAACGTAAGTTTAACACAGAAAAGGTTTCTAGCAGATGCTCTGGTATATTTATTATCAAAGATTATGATCTTGTATTGATCTTCATAGAATGAGTATACCGGCATCAAGTACTTAAAACTTCAGGAACACTACTGAGTAAATCTTTTAAATGTTGCTACAGGTGCTTAGGGTTAGAATTACCCTACCCAGTCTGCAAACATACAGTTCTTGAAAATTACAGTGTATAGTCCTAATTGCACCAGACATGGAAAATACTCATTAGGTTGTCTGTGTTATGATATATTCCAGACTGTCACGTTCAGAATCATGAGTGGTGTCTCCAGTTCTATTCTAAAGTAAAATTATCTGTCCAGTTACAGCTGATTAGAACAGTTGCCCAGAAATTGAACATACCAAGAAGCAAAGATGCAGAGATGTATAACAGATCTTTCATTTGAGGAAGTATTTACAATGTAGTAAACTTTTCCATTCAGAAATATTAAATTCATAGAATACTCAGATTGTAGTAACAAATATGGATCACAATCAAGCAGTGCAATAATTAATTCTGTCTTAATATTATAATATAATCAGTATGAACACAATCTGAAATTTCAAGTTATTCTATATATTACTGTGTTCAGAAATATCCGTACAATATCACTACTACTATTTTAAAGTGTTTTTGTGAACCATTCAGAGAGCCCCAACTATTGTACTGTATGGAAAATAAATAAATATCCAAGAAAGCCTCTGCAAAAGCTAAACAAATACAAGGAATAAATGTCAGGACATTTGTGTTGGTAAAACAAATAGCTGTCATTAAATCATAACAATAATAAGCTACTTTATACTGAATTCAGACCATTGATCCCTCTAGCTCAGCATGGTCTATACTGACTGGCAATATACTTTTTCCTAGCCCTACCTGAAGATGTCAGGGCCTGAACTTGGGACCTTCTGCATGCCAAACACACACTCCATCAGTGAGCTACAGTTTGACTCATGCCATTGGAAAGCACATTTTTAATACTATAGAACATCTTACTTGATGGAGCCTGAGAAACTGCTTCTCTTTTGAGGCCAGGCCAATTATTATAGATTATGTAAGAAATGCACAACACACAAGGGTGTGAGAAATTCCCACAACCTAAAAACATAAAAAGCCATGCTGGATCAGACTATCTAACCCAGCACTCTGTATACATGTTGGCAAAACAGGTGCCATAAGGATTCCTCAACCAGGATGGATATAAGACCTCCACCTGTCCATGCTCCTCAGCAACTGGTAAATGCAGGTAGATGTAGGTAAAGGAGGTAGCACATAGCTAGCTAGGCTACTAGCCACTGATAGCTTTCCCCCTCATGTGTCTGTTCAATTGCCGTTTAAAGCTAGTCAGATTGGTGGCCAGATTGTTAAACCTTTTTGTACAACACAAGCAAATCTGGATTCAAGATATGCTACTCTACTCGCTGCAAATAGTAGATTCTATGCAAAGGATAGAGAGAGCCTGATTATTTTTAGAGTGCTATTTGAAAAATCACATTCCAATCACAATTAGTTCTGAAATGACTCTAATATTGCAATGCTATACATGTCTAGGGAACATACTCCTAGGTGACTGTATGAGACAGCAGCCTCAATGGGCTTGCTTGCCAGTCAATGAGCTTTACAAATCCTCTTTGGGAAATGTTTGTCCCAAGCTGTAAGCACCATAGTGTGTATAAGGCACAGATTAAATATAAATGTAAGTTATAAACCACATTCTCTACATGTGTAGGAACTTGTTTTGTATTCAGAACCAGAGGTGAGTTCTCAAGATTCTCATAATCCACCTTGTACTTATGGTTAACAATATGCGTTTCCAAGAATCATATTTCCAAGCCAGGAAATACAAAACTAAGTGAAAAAGCAGTCCAAATGTTACTGCCTACTCACCTTGTGAAGCCCTAAGAAGAACAGTGTGGTAAAAGAAATCTATTTTTATCTCTTTTTTTCAAGTGAAGCAAGCTGTCAAATTTGTGCAAAAACAATTTAAGTGAAGTTAAAACAGACCATTCAATAAACTCATTTAAGACTTTCTTTTTTTTAGTCCAGATGAGCTGAGATAACTTTCGTTATTGTTTCATTCATTCTTCCAGTCCATTTATTGTGCTTCTCAAGTGTCAAGTTTCCATCATCAGAAACTCTCTGTATAAAACAAACACTTTGTTACTGGACTCAGGAAAAGACAAACCACATGCCTATTATGGACAGTGGAGTGAAAGCTTGGAAACTTCTTTAACTGGCTGGATTGCAGATGGCTAGTTTGAGAAAGTAGGGATCATATTTTAAGTGCTATATAATTAATTATTAATCCCTGCCAAAACCACAAAAGCCAAAATTATCTGAAATTGGTGCTTCTGTGTACTAACCCCAAAACCAATGGTGGCTGCCTACAGAATATCTATTTCTCCTTATGCTTAACGTTTTTGTTTAACTAATATGTCCCCAGGAGAATAGCAGAAAAAGAAGCTGTGTTGCCTAAGTTGCCTTTATTCTAACTGGAGAAAAGTGGGGGCATCTTGTTTTAAGAAAATACAAAGGTTATTCTTTTAGACATTCAACATGTTTGAATGAAATGCTGTTAAGACAGGAGAAAAAAATTAAGACAGCAGAAATTTCAGTTTTTATTTGATAAAACTAAGCAAATTAATACCTTCATTGCACACAGGTTCACAGCTTAAGCTGCTTTGAATAACTTGGCAAACAACAACCAGAGGTAGGTATGCCAACTAAACTCTCCTGATGTTGACTTAATGAGATGTGAACAGACCTAATCTCTTCCTAGGTTAGCATACTCCACTGCATGACCAGGAGAATGAGTTCAGAAGCTTCTGCTTTTGACCATGGCCACCCTTCTGGCTTGTACAGATCTAGAATAGTGGACATTTTAAACTATAGTTAGTTTTAACAATGGTTAGTTTATGAAGGTAGCTTCGTAAACAATGGCTTGAAGTTGAGTTATTTGAAACTGTATGTAGTTTGTCAAGTTTGAAGACATGACAGCTGTGCATAATCAAATTGAAAATAAATCCTTCCAAACTCCTCTTCATAGCCATGGTGTCAATCCTGGAAAGGATAAACATATCTTTCCAAAAGGGTATGACTTTCCATCTGCCTTTCACTGCCTTCATAGGGTACTGGACATAAAATTGCATAACCTCACATGAATTAAAATGAGGTGGGATGAGATAAGAGAATATTATAAAACTGTACTGTAAAAGAAATGTAACAGAATATTATAGGAAATGCACATAAGACACTTTATATTATTTCATATTAGATTCCAACCTAAACATTATTTACATTTTTATGGTTTGAACAATTATATTTTTCTGTAACACAGTTTTGGACAATACTTTCATTACAATACCCATTTTTCATTTAATTAATTCATTTTCATTACAGTACCTCCTTTCTCTTCTTCATTCACAAGTACCCAAAAATATACAACTGTAGGATCTGAACTCATGACTCGATTTATGGTTATGTAATTTATGATAGGGTGTAGCTAGTTAAAGGGAAAAAAAAGATCATGTCCCACTTCTCTTCTCTCTGCACAACTGAACTAATCCTATGTAGTTGATTTAAGCTTGTACGCAGCTTAATTCATGACCAAGAGACAAGAACATGAACAAGCATACGTGAATGTACAAAGAAAGCAGAAAATAGGTTACATCCAATATTAGAGAGGTGGTGTGGTGTGATGTACTGAGAAGGTTGGACTGGGGATCTGGGTTTTAGTTTCCATTCAGTCAGGAAACTCACTGGGTGACTTTGGGCCAGTTACTCTCAACCTAACCTATTTACAAGGTTTTTGTTATGAGGATAAAATGGAGCAATGTAAGTCTTCATTATTTTTTTGCAGAAAGATAAAAGTGGAATATAGATACAATGTAATAATAAAGGTAATAACTGCTTCTTAAAGTATATTCATGGAAATTGATAGGACTTAGTTCAGTCTAGTTCTGGACACAGCTGCATGCCACAAAATATTTTAACACAAGCCTTGTCCAGTTTGTTCATCATACCATCTGTACTGAAAAGTGTATGTAAATCTACATACTACACGTTATGCCAGTTTGCAACAGCCTCCCCATTTTTTATTTGCAGGTACATATGTTGTCCACATATTGCAAGACCTTCATTCAGACTGCTGAGCCATAAACATACTCACTGCATGCTCTGTTTGTGACTCCCACAATCAAACTGCACATACAGTATATTGAAAATATGCTGTGTCATTGTTACCCTGGAATCCTCCACTCATGTATATATAGTGCATTTTGAACTCAGAACCTTTTTTTGCTACCAAAATTGTTGTTCTGCATTTTGAGAGGGCAGAAAAGAACTGATCTACTCAAAAGCATCCAAAATTGCATTCTTAGGCAACTGCTATTTCTACCATTGTATAATTGATAAAGAAACAGGAAGCAACGAGACAGCTTTCTTCAAGATGTCAGGTTGTAAATTCTCTAAACATTATCATTCCCTTCTCTCTTCGCTTTCCTGCCTGCACCAGAGAAAGGGCAGATAAGATGTTCTCATAGAGATTTAGGAATATGCAACATTAAAGAGAGTCTGAAACTGAATCTTATGCACATCTCACAGATGTTTCCTGCTTTCTGAAGAGAAATCAAGGCACCCTAGGAAGATATAGAACAGGCCCATTATAGAATGTTCTGTAACATTTGCATGGTTAGATGAGGCAATTAGAACTACTAGCATTTATTTTTCTCCCTTTCCCTTCTCTCCTCCCTCAGACTAAAGGTTTGTTACACTGTAGTGTGTTCACATCAACACAGCTTCCACTACAAGTCATAGAATCATAGAAGAGTTGGAAGGGGCCATGAAGGCCATCGAGTCCAGTCTCCTGCTGTTGCAGGACACTACATTACACCATCCTACTCAGATGGCTTTCCAGGTTCTTTTTGAATGTCTCCAGTGTGGGAGTGCCCACCACCTCTCTAGGCAGATAGTTCCACTGTTGTATTGCTCTGACAGTGAGGAGGCTTTTCCTGATGTCCAGACTGAATCTGGGTTGCTGCAACTTGAATTGATTATTCCGTGTCCTACATTCTGGCAATAGCAAGAGATCTTGACCTTCCTCTTTGTGACAGCCTTTGAAGTACTTACAGAGGGATATCATGTCCCCCCTCAGTCTTCTCTTCTCAAGGCTGAACATGCCCAGTTCCCTCAAGTCAATTTGAGTTTACATAATGTTGTCACAACATGCCTATTTCATGCTGCAAAATATTCTGTGATGATTCACTGATATCAATGGGGCACTGTGTCAGTGGTTTTGTGGATGGAAGAAAATAAGGAGTGAACAGGTATGAAACTAAAGAGTAAAAAATTATATGTGCCAAAAGAACCATAAAAATATTTCTGTAACTCCAAGAATACTCACTGATGTATGTGTGATTCTCAGTTTTCCTTCGTTGAACAGAAGTCCAAATATCCCAAAACAATTAAACAAGACAATTTTTAGAAACACCAGAACTGAAAAATCTGTAACCATCTTGAACCTGATGACCAAATGATATTTTTGCAGTAATTTACAGCCGAAGTGAAGTCTTATTTTCTCAGCATAAAAGAAATCAAACTGTTGACGCTAAATAGATCACACCCTCCGAGGAGCTTGTAACACTGTATAACTGGTCTTTTGAGCACAGAATAACTCTTTTATTATCAGTAATTCTGAAACCTGGGAAGCAAGTGAGGTAGAAAGCTCAAATTAAACATGGTCTTGTATCATACATGTGATCCCATGTTACCTGCAACTGCTGGGAACTGTCATTAAGATTGTCCTCCCTCCGCCTTGCTTCTTCCAACATCTGTGCACTCTTTTTCTTCTCCACTTGTTCTTTGTGCTTCAGATTTGCTACCTTTTTATTCTGATCTTTAATTTGTCTGTGAAGAAGAAAGCAAGCACTCAAACATTTGTGCAACCTAAATTTTAAAATAGCAATTACAGTTAGCTGTGATTAGTTTATTAATATTCTTGGATGTGAACTAATTTCCAGAGTATTCATTTTATCTATCAGTAAATTCAGAATTACATTGCAATTCTTTTTACTGATTTACTTCCAGCAGCAACAGACTCTAGTAGCTACTCTGGCTGCCTATTAGTTATTAAGTTAGTTTCAAAGTTTTGTTGAAATTTTGAACAGCCATGGAACCTTGGAGCAACTTGCCGCCATGTTTGATAGGTAAGCTTCCCTGAGAAAAACAGGATCTCGCTGTGATTGCATCTACTTTGTTGAATGCCCTTACCACCTGGGATATGTTTTAGGTGCTAGTTAAAGACCTGTCTTTTCAACCATGCCATCCCTGATTCTGCTGTCCAATTCTGACCTTAAATGGATGGGACTTCTTCAAAACTAAAAGTTAACAGAGATGTTTTGCATTTTCTATTTGTACTACACATACAATAGGAATATGGAGTATGAGAAGTATGAATCAAGGCAAATGGGAACACATAAAGCAGGAAATTGGTTACAGCAGTGGTTAAACACCACAGTACTTGATATGAGCAAACTATAATAGATTGGGATGGGATATTTCAGTCAAACACTAAGTGTTTTACGCTAGAAATGACAAAATCAGAAGAAATGGAATGGTTCTCATACTGATGAAATATATAGCACATGCAAAAAGCAGCTATCATGCAAAGTTTGACTGAATTAAGCTTCATTAAAGTCTTTGCTCCAACAACCATTTTTAATGCAACTGTTCAAAAGGAAATTGAGAATACACCAAAATGAGCCTATGATGCTGATCATCATAGGTTACTAGAATGCAAAAGCAGAATCAAAGCAGGATCAAATGTGTGAGATAATTTGGCCTAAGAGTGAGAAACAAAGCAGAAGAAATCACAGAATTTTGTGACGCCAACATTCTGTTTATCATAAATATATAATTTAGGCAACTGATCAGATAACTGTGTATATGGACAGTACCAGATTTCCAACAGAAAAAAACAAATGGACAATGTAATTGGAAGCAGGAGATGAAAAAGTTGTGTTTGCACTGCCAAAACAAAATCAGGAGCAGATTGCAGTAGTGACTAGGAGCTCTTAATTAAAAAAAAAAAAAAAATCAGATTGAAGCTGAAAAAGGTCATGAATAGAAAGACAGTGCCAAAATAAAAATTTAAAAACATTCCTGAGAAATTTAAAGTTCATATAAAAAAACAGATCTCCAATACTAGAATCAAAAGACTGTGAGCCAGAATAACTGTGGACTGAAACCAGAGATGTTATTAGGGGAAAATGCCAAAATACAATTCCTATGGCTGACAGAGAGAGAGCAAGCACAAAAGCTTAGATGGATGACCGAAGAAACACTCACATTGCTAAGGACAAGTGAGAAGCAAAAGAAAAGGAGTTAAAAAGAGACAGACGGAAATAGGGTCAGAATCCTTTATGCAACTTTTCAGTGAATATCATGTACAGACTAGAAGAACTGCTACAATAACCAGTGCAAAGAAATAGAATAGAACAACAAAGAAGGAAAAACAGGGAACCTCTTCCAGAAGTTCCAAGAAATCAAAGGGAAATTCAAACCTAGGAATGCTGAAAGATGAACAGGGGGACATACTATCTGGACAGGATAAAATAAAGAGAAGGTAGAAAGAATATACAAAATGACTACACAGAAGAGATGAAAAGATGAAGAGGGATACTTTTGAAGGAGAAGGATATTTTAAAAAGGAATCCTATGAGGAGGAAGCTGCCATATCGGAAAGTGAAGTGAAACCCACTCTCAAAGCTCTTGGAGAAAATAAAGTATACAGAGTAGATAGGATACCAACAAAACTATTTCACACTGGACTACTTAACTGGAAACATTCAATATTTTCACTAGTTTTAATTTACTAGCTTGTTTTATTGTTGTACATTATTTATATGTTACTTTATCTTGTGTATTTAATTTTATTATTTTATTTATGTTACCTATCAGTAATTTTATTGTAATGGCCACCTAGAAAGTGTGATGCTAATGCATGGCCTTTAAACAAATTTAATAAATAATAAAAAAATTCCAATCCTCATGAAATGCAATGCAAAGGAGTGAAGCAACTATAGGAATGCTGCCCTATTCCCCATGTAAGCAAAGTGATGCTCAAGGTGTTTTAACAGAGCATTTTACTCTATACAGAGTGAGAAATGCCTGTTGTTCAAGCTGGATTTCAAAAAGGAAGAGATATTCGAGATCATATCGCAAACATACTATTTGAGCATGCCAAAGCATTTCTGTCTATACTACCAAGGTATCCATGGTATCCTTCTGGACAGGCTGGCCTGGTTAGGAGTAGGAGGTTCTGCATGGCTCCACTCCTACCTGGCCGGCCGATTCCAGAATGTGGTGCTGGGGGACTACAGCTCTGCGCTTTGGCAGCTTTGCCATGGGCTTCCGCAGGGCTCTATTTTGTCCCCCATGCTCTTTAACATCTACATGAAACCGTTGGGAGAGGTCATCAGGAGGTTTGGACTGCGGAGTCACCAGTATGCTGATGATATCCAGCTCTACCTCTTGTTTACATCTACTCCAGGTGAGGTGGTGGCTGTACTGAACTGGTGCCTGGCCAAGGTAATGGGCTGGATGAGGGCCAATAAACTGAGCCTCAATCCAGATAAGACAGAAGTCCTGTTGGTGGGCAGATTGAGGTTTCAGGTAAGTGATTTTGACCTTGCCCTGGATGGGGTAGCACTCCCTCTACCCAGAGCTGTCATGGAAAGCCAGGTGGCGGTGACAGTAAGGAGCCCTTTCCTTCAACTTTGGCTAGTCCATCACCTGCGTCCTTACCTGGACTAGCAATGGTGATTCACGCTCTGGTAACCTCCTGGTTGGATTACTGTAACGCGCTCTACGTGGGGCTACCCTCAAAAACGGTCCAGATACTTCAACTGGTACAAAATAGAGCCAGACTGCTGACGGGGACCAGCCATTGTTCTCATATAACGCCAGTCCTCTACCAACTTCACTGGCTTCCAGTTGAAGACCGGGCTCAATTCAAGGTGCTGGTTTTGACCTATAAAGCCCTAAAGGGCTTAGGACCAGGATACCTGAAGAAATATCTCCTTCCATATATGCCATCACGCCCCTTAAGTTCAGCGGGAGAGGCCCTGCTCCAAGAATCCCCCAAAGGAGGTAAAAAGGAGATCTACTTGGAACAGGGCCTTCTCTGCGCTGGCGCCCAGATTATGGAAAATGCTTCCCAGTAAGGTTTGTCTGGTGCCAAGCCTATGCTCTTTTCGGCACCAGGTAAAAACCTTTTTATTCAATCATTATTTTAAAAATTAGTATTTTACTGTTTACAGTTGCTTTATATTTGGTTTTGTTTCTGGGTTTGATAATTTTATTGCATTGTTCTATTGATTGTTTTATGGGGTTGCTTTTAATCATGTAAGCCATCCTGAGACTTGATAGCGAAGGGCGGCATACAAATGTTTTAAATAAATAAATAAATACTTTCTAGACTAAAGCAAAGCCTTGACTGTGAATGATAAGAAGCTATGGATGATTCTGAAAGGAATGGGGATGCGATGAATAACCTGCATTGTGGATAAAAAGCTGTTGTGATGGAATGGTTTCCCATATGAAACATGTCAGACAATAGAGCATTTTATTTCCTTATCCATTCGATCTGTATATAGAATATGTCATAAGGGAAGCTGGATTAGAATCAGAGGAAGCAGGAATTCATCAATAATAAGATACACGGATGGTATGTATTAAAAGGAACTTAGATGACTCCTCATGAATAATGAGGACTTCAGAATAATATTAAGAAAATGAAAATCATGAATACAGAAGAATTATGTAACTTTACTGTCGACAATGATGAACTGAAATTGTGACTTGGCTCAGTCATCAATTCAAATGTTGTCTGCAACTAAGTAAGCAGAAAAGGACTGAATTTTGGGAATGCATCAATGGAGGAACTAGAATGGATCATCAAGTAAAAAGGCATTTCACTAGAGCCCAAGGCCAAGATCATTCAGAATCATACAGTATTCCTGATCAGTATTCCTACTGAAGGGCTTCCTATTTTCCCAGGCTAAAATATTTGCAATGCTAGTAGATTTTACTTTGACTTCTATTAAAATAGTTTGAAAATTTCAACATTTTAAATGCACACTGCTGCATGTTGTGAACTGCCTAGCAAACTAATTTGTGATGTTGAGCGATACAGAAATGCAATAAATAAAAATAAATAATGCCATGATTATATCTGGAGTTAGACTTATATCACAGTTATTCTGGATTGCAAGGCCAGAAATATCCCTGAGTGACAGGCAACAGAGCTTTCTTCTTGCAGACAACTGATAGTGGTCAACTTGCTTCTCAACTGCATCACGTTAGAATGCATTTCTGGCTTATAATAGCATGTTTCTCTAGCCTGACAATGATTTCATTCATATAGATAGCAAGATGTCTCGGAAAAGAGCTGAAGTTGAGCCTTCTCTTTAATATGCCAGATTTCTGTGTGTTTGAATGCTGACCCTCCTTGCCTGGGGAAGTATAAACATTAAATCATTTGAATCCAATTTGTAATCTCAAGTTGCACAATTCAGGCATATTTGCTTTGTCGTCTTATGTTTGTGAGACTGAAACTCAGTTTAGATGATAATTGTCTAAATTTATGAGAATGGGACCCAATTTAGTCTTTGGCATGTCACTTAGATAATCAATTCCCTCTTGATATTACAAACTAAATTAAATTGAACAACCTACTGAAAAAAATCCAAAATTAAAACATCTTCCACCATGAATGTGTCATGGTTAAAAAGAACTCTTAGAGTTGTCGGACATAAAACTGAGCTTCAGCCTCATGTACTAGATGGTATTTCACTTGGAATCCAAGTTTAACATTTAACTATTGAATCAGCACCTTATTCTGTATA